CGGCGCTCCCCCCCGCCCCCCCCCCGCCGAGTGCCGCGCGCCCGGCGCTCCCCCCGCCAAGCGTACTCCCCCCGCAAGCGCCCGTGCGCCATGTGCCCGGGGCCAGGCCAGCCCCGAGCACCCGCGGGCACCGTGTTGGGGACCACGGGACTATTCAATTAGTCAATTACCCGATACTTCACATCCTTAATGACTAACTTCCACTACTCAGTAGGGATGTAAAGCCTAATTTGATCAGTTAACACGTTCAAAGTATTGTTTAACTGCTTAAAGTGGGGGTGGGCTGGAACGCCCTGCCCACAGCACTCTGGGCCAGGTACGCCACAGGCAGGGGCCACACTGGAGTGCCCCAACTCATAGCAGAAACTGCTTCAGCAGGGCCAGGCCTGCACTGAGTGGGGAGCTGCTCCAGACCCTGCTGGTTAACCATTCACATCCCTACTACTCCGTCCTCTTCTAGGATGAAAAGTCAAGACACTTGGGGTACATCTACACAGCAACATTATTTCTAAGTAACTTAGTCCACATCTACACAGCAGGCAGTTTATTTCAACATAATTTTGAAATACTATCAAGCGGAAAGATTTCTTACTCCAACGCCTGTAACCCTCCTCGTACAAGGAGTAAGGGAAGCTGGAGGAAGTGTGCTCTATTTCAAAGTAAGTGCAGTGTAGACTTACTTTGAATTAAGCCATTTCAAATTAAGCTATGCACTGGACGTAGCTCAATTTGCGTAGCTTATTTCAAGTTAAGTCCTGTTGGGCAGACACATCCTTACATGCCTTGGGGGTGAAATCCTGCCCCATACTGAAGGGAATGGAAGTTTGGCCACTGAATTTGGGAGATGGGGGGGGGAGAAGGGAGAGGAGATCAGGATTTAACCCTTTGACTTTTAACTAAGTGGATGACTCATGGAATGACTCTTCAATTTTATTACTTTCCTCCCCCACTCTCCACCAGAAAGATACAGTAAAACCACGTAACCTCAGGGCTGAGTATGGGGGACCCTTTCTCTACTCTTGAGTCAGAAAAAAGAGCACAGAGAAGGAGCCCAGGTTACTAAGCAAGAGCTTTGAGCTAGTCAGATAGCTGGTGGCAATGGTCATCTCCCAGCAGCCGGTCTAGGACATGTAGGGTCTTCCTGCATAGGTATCCGTTATAAATACATGGTTCTCTGCAGTCGCATATTTATAAATACAATGGTGTGCTCTCTCTGCAAGGGAACATTGAGGATGGGAGCAGGCACAATTGAGGGGAACAAGAAATGGGAAAGACTCATTTTACATATGAGAAATACCACACATTCCAGCGTGCTGCCCTGCCAGGGACTGCAGACACTGACCAGAAGTTCAGAATAAGGATAGGGCGAGAAGAACAAGAACATGTTTCCTTAATTCAATGCACCAGAGTCACTCATTAAAATCCAAACGCATAGGACTAAACTGTTCACACTAGCTTTTACACTCTTGACTAATCCTAGAACACTACAACGGGAAAAGACCTCGTGAGGTCATCGAGTCCAGTCCTCTGCCCTCACAGCAAGACCCAGTACCATCCCTCACAGATGTCTATCTTACCTGCTCTTAAATCTCTAGAGCTGGAGATTCCACAACTTCCCGAGGCAACTTATTCCAGTGCTTAACCACCCTGACAGTGAGGAATTTTTTCCTAACATCCAACCTAAACCTCTTCTGCTGCAGTTTAAGCCCATTGCTTCTTGTTCTATCCTCAGAGGCCAAGGAGAACAATTTTTCTCCCTCCTCCTTGTGACACCCTTTTAGATACCTGAAAACTGCTATCATGTCCCCTCTTGGTCTTCTCCTTTCCAAACTAAACAAGCCCAATTCTTTCAGCCTTCCTTCAGAGGTCATGTTCTCTAGACCTTTAATCATTCTTGTTCCTCTTCTCTGGACCGTCTCCAATTTCTCCACATCTTTCTTGAAATGTGGTGCCCAGAACTGGACACAATACAAGAAAGGCAAAGGCGCTTCAAAGTGAACTCCCCCTTTCCTAGCTTCCTTC